GAGATAGCATATGTGATTTATCTAGCACACAGTAGATACCCTATGAATAGTAGCTATTACAAAGTAATCTAAGACTCTTACCTTTTCCTCTTTTTTGTTACCCACTCTGCCTCCCATGCAAACTCCAAGTAACCCTTCCCCAAACACTAGCTTTCACTTTGCTACCACCTCATCCTCTCTCTTGAACACTTCTAGTGTCTCATCCTCTATGTTTCCTGAAGTTAGGTCAGAGGGAAGATAAACAAAGCCAAAGAAACAATGAAAGGAAGTAAGTGCTCCTAGCACCATGGCTCAGTTTGTCTGTAACCTTGCAGAGAAGGCCCTGGCGCTGGTGAATGCTGCTGTGACTTATTTGAAGCCTCGACTGGCCATATTTTGGTACTATGCCGAGGTTGACCTGGTTTCTCCAACCCCCGCTAAGATCCCTAGAGCTTTTCAGAGCCTGAAAAAAATAGTCAATAGAGCTTCAAACAGCTCACAGTTGAGGAAGCTGTGCTGAGTGGTTTGGTGGCCACAGAGGTGTGGATGTAGTTTTATGTCTGCAAGAGCATAGGCAAGTGTGGCCATCATTGGCTATGATGTTTGAAGACCAAGCTTTAACATCTGATGACATGTAACTTATGATTTGAATGGACCATTCAGACTGTTATCTGAATAAAATAAGATGTGTTGGGCAGTGCCTGTGGCTCAGTGAGTGGGGCGCCAGCCCCGTATACCGAGGGTGGTGGGTTCCAGCCTGGCCCTGGCCAAACTGCAACAAAAAAATAGCCAGACATTGTGGCGGGCACCTGTAATCCCAGCTAATCAGAGGCTGAGGCAGGAGAATCGCCTGGCTGGGGAGTTGGAGGTTGCTGTGAGCTGTATGACAGCTGCCATGGCACTCGGTAAAGTGAAAGTCTGTTTCTAAAAAAAAAAAAAAAGTGAAAAAAAACCCTCACCCTTTTAAAAATAAAAATAAAATAAGATGTGTCAAAAATAAAGGAAATAAGTGTAAATAATTTTGAGAAAAATGTTTACATTCCAAAGTTCCAGTATGTGTGTGTGTAGAGAGAGAGAGAACCTTTGTTAAGCCGGTCGTCTTCAAATTTCAGGAAAGAAGAAATGGCAAAATAACAACAAAAAAAGAAAAGCATTTTATATTGGTGGATGGAAAGAAATCACCAAGTTTAAGTCTGAGTGTGGGTTCCAGTCTCAGGGATAGGGTGCTGAAATGTCAGTGTCAGGACGAGGTAAGAAAGTTAAGAGAAAGGTTAAAAATAATAAATAAACAGCCGTGTCATTTATTTTTTTTTTTTT